TAGCGTTAATCATTTCATATTTCATGTATGTTATTTAAAATAACACAAAACAACCAAAATTAAAGTTCAGGTAGTTTTTTCTATGCATTAATCCAAGAGGGAACAAAGGCTTCCTTCGAAAGTTTTTATCAGTTTTTAGCTTTTAGATTTTAACAATCAAGTGGAATTAAAGAAAAGCTTTGTTCCATTTAGCTTTTATTTCTAACAAAAAAAAACTTTTAATTCAAAAGCTACTTTAGAATTTTTAGCTTTTTGTTTTTATGTAATTTTACTCATTTAAAGTTAACGACTACTTTTGTCAAACCTTCTACACGAATAAAAGCTATAACTTTCAGATTCTAGCTATTAACTAGTTTTGCCAAAGACACTGAAGATACTTAACTTTTTATTTTTGGAAACAATTTTATTAAAGTGATAAATAAATTTTTTTACAACATGTTTATTGGTGTGTTGTGAAATTACATCAAAGGGCAGTTAAAAAAGATTATGTTAATCTTATTAAGGGCAATTTTGGAAATTGATTAAAAATGCTCAATAGTTTTTTCCTGAATGCTACATAAAGTAGCTTTTAGATTTGAAGTTTTTTGTTTAAACTAAAAGCTAAAAACTCGCACTCTCAAACGAAGCTTTTTGTTAAAAACTAAAAGCCAAAAGTTCCCAAAAGTCCGCTGCCAAAGATAACATTTATTTTTCTTTATTTATCAAATTCATTTAGTTTTCTGATCTTTGTATGACTCAGCTATATTCTTTCAAGTCAACTAAACATGATGATGGTATATGTTATGTAATAATCCATTCCATTACTTTAAATCTGATTCCATCATACCAAACAAAAGCAAGTTTAATTGTTGACTTACGCATTAGAGGGGCGAGTGGACAGTTCATGACATCATTAGGGAGGTCAAGAATGTACTGCGGGATGGTGGTGCCAACGAGAAACTGTGCAACTTCGTTGCTAAAAGTATTGCAATTATGCTTCAGTAAATTGTATGTTTCATGTGTGTAACGCGGACTTATTTCCTTTAAATAAGACACAAAGTCATCTTTTTTAATCTTGGTGACACCAAGCTCAATCATTTCAATTGGAGTCCCATATGGTGCTGTTCCAACTGGAGTCTCTAGTATCCCACCACCAAAATAATACTCTATACCATATACCACTATTCCCGTGTGCCTGTGTTCATTTTCAGGTATATATATATGCAATATTATTTCAACAAAATATATTTCAACAGCAAAGTTTGAGGGTATGGATTATTTTAAGAAAAAGATTCCAAGGTATGTACCGTTTTAGCAAAAAGATTCTAATGGTATTGATGGTATGTACTATGTTAAAAAAAGGATTCCAGGGTATGTACTATTTTAACAAAAAGGTTACATGGTCAACACTTCTAAAGTATCCACGATTTTAACAAAAAGATTTTAGGATAGGCACCATATTCATGAAAAAGGTTTTAGGTTATGCACTATTTTTTACAAAAAAGATTCCAGTTTTTGTTTTTTTTTTTAACAAAAAGATTTCATGGTATATTGGTATGAGGGATGTATTAACTATAATAAATGCATGATAATGGAAGAAAATTAGGAACGATACACACCATATGCCTTCAATAGCCTTCCCCAACAATGAAGTGGAGACCTGTTTAGCTAGCCCTTGGCTTAAGTCGTAGACATGCAAGCTCACCTTTTCAACCTCCTATATATGGATGGATTTCAAAAGTGGATATGCATCATGTTATTGTTATTATATATGTTCCACAAGGCATGACATTTGCTTTGACATATAAACATTTAATAATTAATAGGACACTTAAAACATCATACCTCAGTCATCTTTCAACGATCAAATTTAAGCAAAAGTTCGATCAGGTGCTAAATTGTGTTGTTTCTGATGTCTTCACTAAGCAGAACTATGATAGAATTCTGTTCAAACAAACAATTTAACAAGAAAAATATTAGGGTTTAAGCACTTCAACAATCGTTTCGATAATTCCACAAAACAGAGTTCTTACGCAAAACGAAAATAAGACACAATATTTAACGTAGTTCACATGATCAGGATGATCGACTACGTCCACTACCAACACGAGAGCGAGAGAGATTTTACTATTTCCAGCCGAATGACTTACTAATTATTACATTGGTTTACACAAATCCAGAGAATATAAATACTAGTTGTTTTACCTAAAACAATAAAGTCAACCTGAGAACTCCGACAAATTTAGCCCATGACGATATCTCAAGGCGAATATGATATACGGTTAAAGTGGGACCTCATGCTTGGTCTACCTAGCGACTATAGTGTTAAAGTGAATTAGTATCCACAATTTAACAAAAAAAAATTAAAAAACAACACAATGATAGTATCAAAACAATCCCACACTAAAATTTTCGTTTATAGAATATTAAATAGGTTTGAAGAATGTGTTTATGGTACATACATGCAAAGCATGCGAAAATTTTATATGAAATGCTTTTCGGAATTGGTATAGTGAACGATAATTTATCAAAATGTTAGAATCTCATTGCAAAAGATAAAGTCATCAATTGATATTTGATGATCAAATCAAATGAGTAATCTATTATCTTCAAAATTGACATCAGAAAATAAGAATCATAACCAATACTTGAATATATGAAGATCAAAAATTAATTAGCCTTTCAGGTATAAATCTATATCTTCTCATAAGAAGCAATTGATCTCATCACAAAAAAAAACCATAATTCTTTTTTGAACGGCCGGTTATTGGTTAGATGTTAGATTCACCAAGTTAATTAATCCACCAATGTCCAGGTTTGAACGGGGACCTCCTACCTAAGAGACTTTCATCTTTTACACAAATCGCATTCAGATTGTAGAAACAATAAAATGCCGATCAAAAACAACGAAAACATACATAGTCGCTTACACATACGATAGAATTATACATACAGAATCAATCTCTTGCGGAAGAATTATGAATAAAAGAAAGAAATTCAATTAATAAATGACGAACAAACAAAAGCATCAAGAAAGAACAGATGAATCCGGAAAAAAGACAATCTAGATCATACCTGAAATGCTCCGTTTTAAACAAGAAATTAGAGAGGAAACAAAATTTGAAGAGAAATTTATAAACGGTACAAGAAGAAAAGAGATCTTGTAACTTGGTTTAGTAGCTTGTTACATATATAGTCCCTTGATTAACTTGTAACTTGCAAACTTGGATAATTGATAAATTTGCTTCATATATCTTCGTTAGGGACAAAGAATTTATTTGAATAGATGGTTATTTGATTTTGTTTTAAAAAACAAAAGTTTAGGTTGCGTTTAGTTACAGAAAAACAGTTTTCATTTTCCATTGGAAAATTTAGAAAACGCGCTTAGTTAAAACTTATTTATTATTCATTTTCAGTTTTAGAAAATTAAAAACGTGTTTAGATGTGTATTTTTCTGTCGGTTTTCATTTTTAGAAAACGGTAGCGGTGGTAGGGTAGGCGTGGGGACGGTGGCAGCGGCGGGGGCAGTGGTGGTGTCGATGATGGCGACAGTGGTGGTGATGTTGGCGGTGGCAGCGGGGTGGCGGCAGTGGTGGTGATGATAGGCGGTGGTGGTGACGACGACAATTGTGGCAGTGGTGATGATGGTGTAGTGGTAGTGGTGATGGTAGGTCGGTGATTGTGGTAGTGGTGTTGGTTGG